CGCCTTAGCCGGTTGAGCCACAGGCGCCGAGCCTTGATGGATATTTTCTAACTCCATTTTCTTTTTTTCTATTCTCCTTTTGTGTTCTGGAGTCATTACTATATAGATCATTGTGTTGTTTGATTATCCCAAAGGTCTATGAGGGTGCATGAAGCCATCAGGGGACCAGGGTCCCGGAGGTCAAGAGAGTTGGGAGTCGGAGCAGGAGCTCTAGCCTTTCATTACTATATAGATCACTGTTATTTGATTATCCCAAAGGTCTATGAGGGTGCATGAAGCCATCAGGGGACCAGGTTTCCCAGACTGGGTCGAGAGAGTTGGGAGTCGGAGCAGGAGCTCTAGCCTTTGATGCTCCTCTGACCTCTGCGTGTCCAGGAGTGAGACCAGCAGGCCTCAGGGCCTCTCAGCCTGCCTTGTCTGTCCGGCTCAGCTCCCTGAAGCCCAGAGAGGCAGGTTGGAACTCATGAATCCTCTTCAACTCCCCTGCAGGCTGAGCACAGCTACCTCTGTCCCCACTTGTCCCCTTTCCCCTGTAAGGAAGAGTCACTGATGGAGGAGTTTTCAGTGCACACCAGGATGCTTGTAGGAAGACTCCAAAGCTTTTAGATGTGTTTGTTACCTAGTTTCATACCAGGGCTCCCAGCAGGCACAGGATGGGGAGCTGGCATGGGAGTGCAGGCAGTGTCATCATGAAAACACTGGATGCTTGTTTCGCTGGGAGGAAAATGAAATGTTGCACGTGGAAAACAAAAGATCCCATGTTGATTTGTGATGTGGCATAGTGGGCTAAAGGCTTTATTCCCAGCAAGGCTGAAAATCAGATGTCATTACAGGATGCCTGCCCTTGTTTCCTATCCCCATGTCGCCTCCATAGCCCAAGATCAGAATTAGTGCGGCTAAAAGGGCATATCCCAGTTGCCATACGTGACTAACAAAGCCCCAAAGGGTGCCTTGCCCTGAGATTCTGACGTGTAAGAGGCAGGGCTGAAGAGTAACAAGGGCCAGACTGACGGGATGTCGGCTCTCAGCGAACATTGGGGAAGGGTTTCTAATTGTTTTGTTTTGATATTTTTGATAAGTTTCACCCAGGTTGTCTCCTCCTCTCCTTATGTCCTTTCTCCATCTGTTTCTCCCTGGTCCCCTCTACAGGGATATAATCCTGGCTAGGTGACCTATATAATGGATGAAACACAGGCTGTTTTTTAAAGCAAAGCTCCACAACTTATCAGCTGTGAAATCTTGGGGGAATTCATTTCCCATTATTATGCCAGCATGTCCTCACCTGCCAAATGAGTACAGTACCTACTCAAAGGACCTCAGTGAAGTTTAAACGTCACGTGCATGTACCACATTCAGCCCGGAGTAGGCACCAAACATTCAGCCAGTCATTCAGTATTTCCTGTGCATATTCCATGTGCCAGGCCCTGCATTAGCAGCTAGGGAAGGAATAGCAGACAGGCAGACTCTTTCTCAGCCTCCTGCCACAGTTGGTCCATGGGCTGTGTCCTCAGTAAATGCCAGCCAACATCAATAGCTATCAGAGAGCTTCTAGCCCAAGCCCAGGATTTTCCAGGGCAATGGAAATGTCCAGCCACTGACACACACACTGAGTCGCCTGCATCCAGGATGCATCACTTAGTACTGCACCCCTATTTGTCTCAGGAGGTAGAGGGGGTCTCTGCCTGCACCATCTGGACCTCATTCTCCTTAGTGGAAACTTAAGGAAATAGATTCAGAGACTAGGCAACCTCTGCATTACAGCAAAGATGGAATTTAACACGGTGAATTATGAGCTCTGATTCTCACCCCTCTAACACTAGTAATACGTGTGGTTCACAGGTAGGGAACATCCATATTCACAGTTCTCTGCACTCTTGAAATAGCCCTTCCCTCTCTACTCTGGCAGAAAAATGATCCTTATAGAGCATCAAATGGAGCCAAATGGAATGGGTACCCCTCTAAGATTTCCAGGATTCTAGGATTTTTCTAGTGCTTTCTGAGATAGAACACTCCATCCGTCTATCCTTTCTGCTTTGGGCCTGGCACTGTGCCAGGTCCCAGGGATACAGCAGTAAGCCAGACAGATGTGGACATTGTTCTTGTGGATCTTGATTCCCTGAGTTTGAGACAGATGGTTAAAGAACAATTGCTTTCAAAATATACTTCTTAAGGCCGAGTGCAGTAGCTCACACTTGTAATCCTAGCACTCTGGGAGGCCAAGGCTGGTGGATTGCTTGAGCTCACGAGTTCGACACCAGCCTGATCCACAGTGAGACCCCTTCTCTAAAAAAAGAAGAAAAAAGAAAAAAGCTGGGTGTTTCTTCTGGTGCCTGTAGTCCCAGCTACTTGGGAGGCTGAGTCAAGAGAATTGATTGAGCCCAAGAGTTTGAGGTTGCTGTTGAGCTGGGATGCTACAGCATTCTACCAAAGGTGACATAGTGAGACTCTGTCTCAAAAAAAAAAAAACTATATATATATATATCATATACTTATTTCTCTCAACTGCTCATCTTTTCCAGTTCTTCACCCATATGTTCCTACCATATTACTCAAACAAATGTGAACTTTCTCTGACTTTATAATTCCAGGCAACCAACAACAGTGACAACAAGCCATCTGAGTTTGTCAAGATTAACAAGCATCCTAACACCTATTAAAAACAAATAATGTTCTGGATGCTTTTAGAATGTGTATGGAACTAGCAGGCCTGGGTAGACAAGAGGCAGGAAATGGAGCACAAACTTTGTCTCTTGGTCACAGCTTGGAGTGCAGGGTGATAGAGAGGGTGGAGAAAGACCCGAGCTGAATGATGGAGGCTGCACGGCTTCCTGCCCGGGTGAACTTAGGCAAATGCTTTCTCTTCCCATTACCCAACTGAACATGGTACTTGTATTAGCTCCCTCGTACCCCACTGGCCAGCGGTGCCGGTGGGACACAGCAACAGTGAATTCCCCTCCTGTAGAACACACTGTCTTCACATGGTCCTTTTGTCTTCCTGTCTCAGGGGCCACAGGCCTCACCCCTCACATCCACCTTCAGCTCATCAGTGGCTCGCACTTTACCATCACCCCCTCCCCTCCATCTACATTCAGGGAAGAATACCCTCTTTATGTTTCTATGGAAACACAGCAGGTTTCCATTATAATCACTGGGATTTAGGGAGCTCCCCACTCCCGTCTTATGACTGCCCACACTGGTCCTGACAATTTAAAGGAGATTGAAAGTGACTTTCTTTTCAAGGCCAGGCAAATAGCAGAGTATAAAGAAGTGTGTGCACTTTGGAAAGAAATTGATTAATGTTTTTTAGGCCAAAGCAATTTATTAGCATAAAGGAAAATTGCTACTTTTCTTCGTATTCATCTGTTTGACAAACTACTGTTTAGTTTGGAGAGGAGGGGAGGGAGTGTATTTTGCTTTGGTGGCAGCTGCCTTGTAAATGGGAGGGGGCAGTGCCCTCTCATCTGCTTTTCCTCTTGAGGCTGGGTGGAAAAGACTTCCTACCTCCACTCCCTACTCAGCCAGCTCTCACCATGTTCAGCAACCCCTTGAAAAGAGAAGTAAGTTGCCAACTTGGTGAAAATTCAAGTAAATTGTTAGAAGATGGTTGTTTGTAGGTACTGGGAAGGGACTCTTTGCTTTGGGTTTTGGGTCAGTATCAAGGTAGAACACCAATAACCTTTCCAACCTCACACCGCTTCTCTCCTCTCTCTTGCCCTGCCTTCCCTCCCACCCTTGCCAGCTTCCATCACTCATATATACTCTGTGTTCTATGCAGAATCATACAGAGGAAGACATGTGTTGAGTGCTTAGGTTGTGCGGAACCCTGGCTTATAGTACAGGCTAATATTATAGTAGTCAAGAAATTGTGACAATGCAGGATTCAGGACAGAAGCCACTGAGATTGCCCAGAGCATTTGAGGTATGTGGGCCAGTCCTCTAAAGGATGCATTGGATACAGGACCTGTGATTCAGGGATGCCTAGTTCACTGGGGAATCATAGGGCCATTCTCATTCAGGATGTCTGAA